TGCCATTTTAGCTGAGAATCTGTTGCTGTCCAGGGCTACCCGAGTGTGTGTCACAGCTAATTTGAAGGTTTCAGAGTAGTAGCCGTGTTAGTCTGTATTCGCAAAAAGAAAAGGAGTACTTGTGGCACCTTAGAGACTAACCAATTTATTTGAGCATAAGCTTTCGTGAGTTACAGCTCACGAAAGCTTATGCTCAAATAAATTGGTTAGTCGCTAAGGTACCACAAGTACTCCTTTTCTTTTAGCTAATTTGAAGAGGCCCATTCTCCCAACTTTTATACTGGAGCCTGCATTGCTTTCTTCAGGATTCCCTGGGTCTGACCCACAGTTGCGCTGTATCTTGTATTGTCAGTAACCCCAGTGCAAAGTGCTCTGTGATACCAGACCATTTGGGAGCGTTTTACACCTGGATTTACCTCCTAGAGTCTCCTCACAGAGGTCAATTTCTGGCGGACCCCTGTTGAGAAAAGCAGGCAAGCAGTGAAACTCTGGTAAGATCCCAGCAACTTGGATCACTCTTTGACTAATGTTGTCAACTTATTCCAAAACCCCTTAGTGACTGCCTGGTGGCGGAACCCCTGACAAGATTACATCTGTTCAGCTGTCTCATTTCCTTAGGAAACAATGAAAGGCTCAAAGGAGAAAGGGTCCAATTACCAAGCTGAGAGGTTATTGTGCTGAGGCTGGGGTCTGTTAAGAGCACATGTGGCATTCTATACAATCAATATTGTACATTGTCCTCAGCGCACCTGCGGCTCCTGCAGTACTGCCCATAATGGCACAGAGCCCGAGGCCAAACAGACAGAGAGAAATGGAACCCCAGTCTACAGAGCACAGGTCAAAGGATGCACTCCTTCCCCCTCCCTCTGCCTTCTGGCCTCTGCTCTATCATGCCACCCAGCTGGTCTCATTGCAGGAAGGACTGACGCTAGAAAATGGTTTATAAAGTGGCTTGCAGCAGCATCTGGGAACGGCAAACATGATGAACTGGAGTACAATGCATCCAGCTTGGTTCAAGGCCAGTGCGGCCAGATCCTCAGTTAGTGTCAAACCATCTGAGCCAATTTCAGCTACACTGATTTACACTCACTATGGATTTGACTCCTACTTTAGAGGGGACTTCAGTTCTCTTTGCAGTTTCTCTTCTCAGGAGGAAATCAGGGCATGGCTACGCTACAGCCGCACAGCTCTGGTGCTGCACCAGAGTTTGGCCACCTCCTACATCAATGGAAGAGGATTTTTCCATTAATGCAGTTAATGTATCTCTCCGACAGGTGGTAGCTAGGTCGACAGAAGAATTCTTCCAGCAACCTAAATGCAGCTACGCTGGGGGTTAGGGCAATCTAACTATGGCCCTCAGGGTGCAAAATTTTAGGTTGATCTATTGTAGACCTGGCCAGGTATATAAGAAAAAGTGTAGACCAGGGCAGGTGTATAAGAAAACTCCACTTCAGCCATGTGGTTAGTACCATCTGAGAGGGTTTGAGCAGTTTACCTGGCCTGTCTCTGGAAACTGTAGACACTTAGCCCTACAAACATTAGCCAGAGCCGTGCCAGACAGACACTGACATGGTTGCAGTCTCACTGTGCATGGGCTTTACACTCAAATTCTAAAGGGAATGTACAGAAAGATAATAGCTTGTGCAGGTGTGTGACCCTCCTCACTCCTTCTCTTAGGGTGGTTCTGTCCCCAGATGAGAAGAAACCTTAGGATCCACAGTCATGTGAAGGGAGCTATGGGTCCAAAGTGAGAAGCAGAAAATCTCTCCTTTAGTCTGGCTTCTTGTCTCTCTTCCATCTGTTCTTGCTGCCCTTCCTCCACTCTCCTCTCCCTCTCTCTGCCCACAATCCCTTCAAGCCTCATGCCTTGGCTCCACTGCGGTCTAAGACCCTTTCTTGTGGTGAAGCAGAAAATAGCCCCAATGGGTAAGTCGTCCCATATGAAAGAGAGGGGAGAATTCCCAAACCAGCACCGGGAATGGTTCTCAAAGGAAGACAAGGTGGGGGAGGGAATATCCTCTACTGGACCAACTTCTGTTGGTGAGAGAGACAAGCTGCACAGAGCTCTCAAAGGATGGGCAGTTTGTGCCTCTGCTGCTTGTGACAGATGGGCAGCACCTGTCAGACGGGGCAAGGCGGGAGGGAGAAGCCAAGTGCCCTGGGCATGGGGGTGGGGGTGAAGGAGGAGCAGATGGTAAGGCAGCTTTTAGCAGGCTTGTATCGTATAAAGACAATGGAGTGTCTCTCCTATCTTTACTTAAACAAGAAGATTTATTCCCCTGGACAGCTGGCAAGCAGCCTGTATACCCCCTCAACGCCCGCCTCCACAGCCAGCTGCACGCTCCTCACAAACACACAACATGCACCCCACAGCAAGCCGCACGCTCCCTGCAATCTCCTCTGCCACACACAGCATACGCACAGCCAGCCGCACGCTCCTGCAATCTCCTCTGTCACATACACACACACACAACTTCCCTCCACACACAGCCAGCTGCTAAATCTCTGCAATGTCCTCACACACAAGGTTGCCGCCTGCAGTCTCTCACACACTACCTCCAGTAGCAAACTCCTTGCCTCCACCTAGGTCAGCAGTTCTCAACGGGGGATCCACGGCCCTCTGAGAGTCCGCGAGCCCTTTCAGCGGGTCCACGGAGGCCCGCCACTGAAACCCGGTGCCCTGACCCCTGGCAACCCCCTGCGGGGCTGAAGCAGGGAGTGGCGTGGGGCTGAAACCCCAAGCTCCCTGTGTTGAATCCAGGAGTGGTGCGGGCTGACATTCCGAGCTCCATCCCCCCCCCCCCCACCCTTCACTGAAGCGGGGAGCAGTGGCAGTGGGGGGAACTACTGAAACCCTGACAAAGGCAGAAACCTTGAGCCCATGGGCAAAGTTGAGGGGGCATGAGGGTGGTACCCCCCCAAACTGCAGTGCCTTACCCAGAGTGGGGCAATCCTGGTTGCAGCTCCACCCCCCTCCACCTCCTCCTCTCCCCAAGCCCTCTGGCCAGGTCCTAGGTGGGAAGCCGGAGCCAGGCAGCGCAGGGCAGCTGCTCCTCTGGTTGGTGGTGACATGGGGGGAAGCAGCTATGAAATTCCCCCATCTGCTGTTGGTGCCCGGGGTTCTGGCTGCTCCTCAGCTCCCAGCCCCCTTTGACTGCTCATGCAGCCGGTCAGAGCTGCCCAGGCAGGGACCCAGCTCTGGGGTCAGCAGAGCTCTCAGGGAGCAGCCTCCGGCACACAGCCCGAGACAGATGGGTGGCCTGCTGAGGTGAGTCAAGGAGTGGAGGTGGCGCTCCCACTTTGGACCCTGCTGTGCCCGAGCCCTGCCGGCCCTTCCCCCAAAATAGAAGTCAACCTACACCTATGCTCAAGGGTTCCCACCCCTGGCCCGGAACCCCCTGCTCCACCACCTCTACTGGGCCCCGGAGTTTTTCTCGCATGTTGAGGGGGGCCTCAGAAAGAAAAAGGTTGAGAACCCCTGACCTAGAGGATCACAATGGTTCCTTCTCACCTTGAAGTCTATGAGTCACCTCACAAGGTGTATTTATCCTCCCTCCCGTCAACCCTGTGGGGCAGGGCAGGGCTATTATCCCCATTTTATAGATGGGGAACTGAGGCACAGAGAGGCCAAGTGACTTATCCCAGGAGTCTGTGGGAGAGCAGGGAGTTAGACCCTGGCCTGCCCAGGCTAGCACCTTCACCAGTGGACCATCATTCCCCAGCTGGAAGACTGGGGCTTTAATTCTGAAGACAATCATGTTAGTAACAAACTCACAGTAATAGCAGCATGGGCAGTGGATGGGGGAGGCTGTGCCTCCCCAAACAGCCAGGCGTGGTCCCGCTTTAGTGGTGCCACTGGACTCCAGGGGCTGGGACCACACCACGCGCCTTCCCAGGGTTGGGAAGGCTGTGGGAACTAGCCAGCCTGGGGGGGCTCTGGGTTCAGAGGTGCAGTGCGAAAGGGGCGGGGCCTCGGGTGGAAGGGGCAAGGCTCGGGCTAGCCTCCCCCAGCTAGCAGTTCACGTGCCATGCATGAATAGCAGTCATGGCAGAGGCGACTGCTCTAATGAAGGCTGCAAAATAGTTTCCATTCCAAGCTCCCCTTTTTACAATGTGATGATGTTCCACAGCATTCCCCCTGTTGGGTTCCTATGGCACATTTCTGAGTCATGAGGGGCTTTGAGAAACACATGCAGTTGGATTGGGCACGTCTCAGTGGTGTAACTCGTACAAGGTGAGCGTGGCTCTTTGTTGCCTTGTTGTGGCAGCCCCAAGAAGTTACTTCACTGAGGCAGAAGCATGTTCTAATTCAGAGGGTGCTGGTCAGGAGCCATAAGGCTGCAGGCCCAGCACTTCCACCACCCTGCTGTATTACCTCAGACAGGTCTTTGTGCCTCTGTTTCCCTTCCCACCTTTTGTCTGTCTTGTCTTTTTTAAATGATCAGCCCTTTGGAGCAGGAACTGTCTCTCAGTATCTGTGCTGTACCCAGCACAATAGGGAGCCCTCGATGCTACAGCTGTCTGCACACATGGTATTGCAAGTAAATAACCCGAGAAGGGTCCCAAATCCACCATGTCTGAGGTGTTTCTCTGGATTATGTCATGGGCTGAAACCTCCAGGAATACATCCAACACAAACTGGCAACCCTCCCTGGTTCATCTCCTACAGATCTCCCTGCTGTATAAAGGGTCCGCTCCAGAAAGCATGGCCCCGCCAGGCACCGGGAAAACTTTTCCTTGCCTAGAGCAGCCCTGGCGGTCCCGAAGGGTTGGACCCAGGCTGGCTGCGGACTCAGCCGCTTCGGCCTAGCAGCGCTGCAAGGCTTCGGATCCTAACCCAGAGCGAGCCAGGCAGATGGTAACCGCGCTCGCGTGTGTGTGTGAGAGAGAGAGAGAGAGACGCGGCTGCGCCCCCTGCAGGCCACGCCGCGCAGCGGCTGCCGAGGCGTAGAGGTTATTTGTGGTTAGCTTTGATCCCGGGGGAACCTGAAACTCTCGCATTCCTGGCATAGCAGCCGCTCGCTCAGCCCAGCCTCCTTGGCTCTCATTACAGCTGGCGGGGGCCGGCGCGGCGCTCAGTGCCTGCCAGCAGCCGCGGGGGCAGGATCTCTGCGAGCTGCACGCACACGGCGAGCCGGCCGAGCGCGGAGCGAGCCTCTCCTCCCCCGGCTCTGCAGCAAGGCTGCTCTGCTTCGGTGAGTTCCGCTCCGGGCTGCCATCCCCGCGGTGTCTGGTGCCACAGGGGAGATCTCGGACTCCCCGTCCCTGGCTCGCGTGCCGCTTCGGGTTGGGAACGCTGTTTTCCCTGCGCTCCGTGGGCGTCAGCCTGCGGGGTCCCCCTCTTTCCATAGCTCTCGCTCCCCACATTCCTTCCCCTGCAGCGTGTGACCCGTGATTCCTGCAAGCCCCCGAGAGCGCCTGGGTTGTGACCCATCGTAAGCAGAGTGGGGGTAAGCAGGGCTTTGCCGAGCTCGTTTGCAGTCACAGGTGCTTGTGCCCCCAGCTAGCTGGAGAATTCTCTTTGTCCTGCTCGGAAAATGCTTGCCGCAGCCATGAGCTCGTTCTCACTTAGAAGGAATGTTAATTGCAATCCAAACCCGGGTGATGTCAGTGCTGAACGATTTGGAAAACAAAGCGGCAGCGAGGCAGGGCCCTAGCACCGCTCTGCCGATGGCAATTGCTGAATGCGCTCTAGCTAGGTGCGTTAGTTTACACCTAGTGGGTTTGGAAAGGCGAAAAAAGGGGTTTTCCCATGGGATGCTGCCACAGAAATGTCTCGCTGTTTAACATCAACCCTATTGTAACCTCCCAGCCGGTTGAAGCTTTCCAGGGAGATCTCCTGGGTTGCAAACCCTTGTTCTTTCACTGGATCGTCTTTGAATTTCCTAGAATCTGTCAACTGGAGTTTGAGTTGTGTGTCTCTCTCTCTCCTTTTTTTTTTTAATGATCCTCTCTTATTTGATGCTGCTCATTCAGGTTATGCTGAATGCCATTAAGGGAATTTCTTGTCACTTCAAAATTAAATAAATGTATAAAAATATGGGGAGGGGAATAAAGGCAGGCAACCAGATTAAAAACCAGCTGAGGATCCAGGAGTGATCCTCCCTAATAGTAAAAGGTTGAGGAGCACATATGGCGGGGGTGGGGTAAGGAATGTTTTCTCCAATTTCCTAGCTATCTAGTCATGCTTCCTGACCCAATATTTCATACTTCCTCCTTGTGAGAACGCACCAGGGTTTGTGAAACTGAAGGGGATGTGTGGTTCTTTTATTTTGATTCACCAAAGGCAGTCTGGGGTTAGCTTTAAATCTCAGAGGTCTGAGTCAGCATTGAAATGAGGCTCAGGAAAGGTAGTCTGTGTAGAGTTTCCTAATTTCACCTTCAGGGAAAACCTGGTCAAGAACCAATGTGTTGGGAACCAATATTTGAGGTATGTTTGTATGAAGCAATATGAGATTAGCAATCTCCCTTTGCCAACCCACATGCACTAGCATGGGACTAGAAACAGGTGATCAAATGTCTATTTAGGAATTCACTTGCTTGAAAGTTTGCCTTCAGAGGAGGACATGCAACTTAAAAACAGTGATATAACTTCCCTGGCAAGCATTCCTCTTCAGTAAATTACTAGCCATGCACAAACCTGGGCTACAGCTGAAGTTTCTGATTGCCAGAGACAGCAAAAAGGTTGTGAGAATGTTTTTAAGGTCTACCCCCACATTGGTGACTCCAGGTTATGGCTGATTCATTTAAGATAAGTGTTTTATATTTAAAATTCAGTAAATGTATGAAAAGCATGGGTGCATACATACATACATAAAACACCATAACAATGTAAAAAGAACGAGGAGTACTTGTGGCACCTTAGAGACTATTTCTGTTTTCTCAAATAAATTTGTTAATCAGGAAAATCAGGTTTATTTTATGTGACTGTTCGTATGAAGCTTTTATTATATTTTGCGATCCACTGGTGTGATGATAGTAGATGAGCCCTTTTCACTTTTGCTCACAGTCACTTTTGAGTCAATTTCACACTCATTCAGGATTATAATATTGCAATGTTTGCAAAATGTGAGGGGGAGAATGTTTATTTGTTTAAAACAATTAGATCTTATGGGAATTGTTCAAGAAAAGGTTTGTGGATACACTCTTGTTGATTTTAGGTTTTGTAGGAGCTTCCATTTACAAATTCTGAGTGTTGGCCCAAATTTGACAAGTCTCCCTTCTTTAAGGAGACGGAAAGTACTGGCGACTGAAATCCTCTTGCTTTGTGGACTGTAGCTGCTGTCCTGCAGGTTACACAGGAACATTCTCTGCCAGTGTAACTTGGGCTTGCCAAGTCTAGGATATTTTGTGTAATGGTGGATTGAGCTCAGAGCACCATCTTCATTACACTTAGCAGAACTTCTTCCCTGCCCCACAATCAAAGCTAGACTCACAGGAATTTCACTAAAAGTTCTGCATTGGCCTACTGGTTTGGATAATGAGTTTCACTCTGGGCAGTGAACTGAATGAATTTCTCAGACAGCAATCACAGCTTTTCCCATGGCTACCTCGCCTGGCACATGTGGAGAGACACACACACTAAGGGAACCAAAAAAAGGGGTTCTGGCTGCACAAGTTCCTAGGATCCTGTGACCTGGCCTTTCCAGAGTAGTAAATCAAGTTATGCAGAGCAGTCACGCTGAATCTCAAAGGCACTCATGCTAAGCCCAGGTGCTGAGGCCGTCCACCCCACTGGGAAGCCAGCAGAGATCCCCATGGCTGACATTCCTCACTCCCCACCAAGAGCTGCCCCCTTTAGGATGCTTAAGATGAGATGGCGATTCAGCGGCTCACTGAAGCGCTGGGCAGGGAGGCTTTTTGTATGAGAGCTGAGTTCCCTGCAACTGAGCCTGCCAGGAATGGTCCACTTCCAGCCTCCACAGGGTTGCCAAGGGCCTCCCATGGAATTAGCGTTCAGCCAGGGTCTGGCTCTGCCCTTCCTAATGGTGGCAAAGGGATGGGATGTTGCTCAGAATCCCCCTCCCCTCCTCCGCTCTGCTAGGATACGAGTATTGTGACTAAAGGGTGGATTGCGTCTTTCCTGGCAGAGTGCCACAATGGGACTCCTGGCAAAATAAATCTTCTGAAAATATGTAATGAGCAAACCCCTGACTGAGAGCTGCCTCCTGATTCCTGTGTTCGTCTCTTGTAGGCTCCTTGGGTGCTGCCAGATCCTTGGGATTGTATTGTGTCTACTGTTCCTGGTGGCAGCCCCTTGCCAATCGACTAGCTGAGGATGAGGACGGCGGAGGATTCCTCTGGGACGGTCCTGCACCGGCTCATCCAGGAGCAGCTGAGATACGGGAACCTCACAGAGAACCGCACGCTGCTGGCTATTCAGCAGCAGGCGTTGCGTGGAGGTGGGAGCACGGGCAGCCCTCGCTCCTCACTGGAAAGTCTCACCCAAGAAGAGAGCCAGATGGTCCAGCAGTCCACACGGCAGGAGCCCCAGGGCCAGGAGCACCACTGCGACCACATCTACCTGGAGAACAATGTGTATCGGCTCCACCAGCCTCAGCACAAGGGCGAGGAGCTCCCCACCTATGAGGAGGCCAAAGTGCATTCCCAGTACTATGCCTCACAGCGAGGACAGCAGGCTGGGGTGCCCTGTCCAGGTGCCCCCGCTGAGCCTGGCCAACGCAGGGCCTATGCCCCTGACAGCAGCAGCAAGCGGCAGGACGAGTCACTAAAGGAGCTGAAGCATGGGCATGTGAGGTCATTGAGTGAACGCCTCATGCAAATGTCGCTGGAGAGGAATGGAGCCAAGGCCCAGAACCACATGAGCTCCTCCCACAGTTATCCCCAGCTATCGAGGCACTTCCAGCTGTCAGCCCCAAGAGGGCAGCATGCCGAGGGGATGGAGCCACGGGGTCCCCCTCCAGAGTACCCCTACATCATCCCCCCCCAGGAGCCTGCAGTTGGTTACCTGGCAGATCCCAGGCACTGCTCCAGGGAAGGGCCAGGATTTCAGCATCCTGAAGTCAGGTAACCACAACATTTGTCTAGCACCTCACACTTCACAGCTAGCATGCATTGCCAGTCCCTTCCTTCCTGGCGTGCACTCAGTTCCTGGGACTGCGACAGCCACATGGGAAGGGGTTCGGGTATGTTGCTGCTACACCGCATGGCTCGCAGACAGGCTGTGGCTGGGGAGCCCTATGGGTTCTGATGCCCAAGGCTGGTTGCATAAGCAGAGAAACCCGCGTGTTGCAGAATAAGGAGATGAGCTGTAGGGACACTACAATGTTCATCCCCTGGCTGCATGAATCCTTACTTTGCCCCAGATCAATCTACCTTTTGCTGACTCTGGAAGTGCTGCCCTGTTCTGTGGGGCAGAAATGGGTGGGGAAGGGGACTTGCAGTCTGACTTTTGACGCTTATGGGCTGTATTTGTCTCTGGGGTGGCTATGCCAGGGCTCAATTAGACCAATTGTTTTGCAGATGAAGTTGTATCTTCACAGCCTCTTTCCCCTTGTGTTCTGAGTGGAATTTCTGATTATTTTAGAAGTTGGAATTGAATCAGGAAATGGCTAAGTTTGGAAGGGAGAAAGGAAGCAGGCCCTGCTATGTGGAAAACTACCAGTGCTGTCCCCAGAGGGCGTGCAGACTCTGAGGGCTGAGTAGCACGTGGACACTGGGAACTCTCTTTTCTGTACTGAGAGGAAGGTGAAAGTGATGAATTCTTACCGAACATTCCCAGAGGGAGCCCTGCTAAATACAAATCTGTACCTAGCCACGTACCACCCCCTTGATACCGGGCTTTGCCCTCATCCACTTTGCAAATGCCAAAGCCCAGAGTCTGCCCCCAGCTTGCACCCAATGCAATCCTAAGGGTGAACCATGCTCTCCGTTACACTGGCAGTTGAGGTCCCTCTTCTCTTGGCTGCAGCGTAGGGTTGGTAAGTGGAGTGTTAATGCTGGGTGAAAAGTGCCTAACCCTTTTCAGCAGATCCACCATCTGTGTACAGGGCCTTGCTAGCATTATGACCTGTGTCACTAACGGTGGAAGCCTACATAGAGCTCTGGTGTTATGGGTCCTCGCCACTTTAGGGCATCATGCATTCCGCTTTGCCTGGCAATTTGATCACATCATAAAGCGCTTTTTGGTTGCTTATAACAAGGGAAATACAGAGTGGCAGAGGAGAAACTAAACCCTGAGTGTAATGACAGTTTTCAGAGTAGCAGCCGTGTTAGTCTGTATCCGCAAAAAGAAAAGGAGGACTTGTGGCACCTTAGAGACTTCCAAATTTTTTGGAAAGAAAGATGTCTGTCTGTATCTGTACGAGTTTTTTTCATGAAGTTGATAAATTTGTTAGTCTCTAAGGTGCCACAAGTACTCCTTTTCTTTAAACCCTGCGTGTTCCCCCTGGGTGTTCTCTCCCTTCACCACCACCCACCATTTTCCAGCTGCCCACTCTCCCTGTGACTTCTCAGCTAGCTGCACGGTTGGGAAAGGTGGAAGGCTGAGTAGCAGTGTGTGCTGTTGGGCAAGCCAGAGTGAATGCTGACAGGAAGAGATAATATCGCTGACAGGAAGTGCTCTCTTTTGGAGGGAACAAAGAGGGGAGGGGTGCAGGCAGAAAGGAAGACGTACTTACAAATCGCTTTCCAGGAATGCAGCCCCACATTTACAGCCAGCCCTGGGTCATGTGCAGCCATGGTGCCCTCTGGGAAGCACCTGATGGTCAGACTCCCATAGGGTGGCCAAGTTGGCATTGGGGATATGGTATCTTTGCCCTCTTAGCAGTTGCCTTAAAGATTCATTAAAACAGAATGTCCCTGTAACAGTGTTTGGTCTGCTTAGCATGCCTTTCCCACAAAGTCCAGGACATGTTTATTAATGGTATACTTTTAATAAGGGATCACCTTGGGGCAGTGGTGTCAATTCAGATATTCCTTAGAGGGGGAGGACAAGCTCTGGTCCCCACTCATCTCTCCTCGCCTTGTAAGCAACCAGGGTCTCCCTCAGCCAGTGGGGAGTCTCCCCTCTTACTCGCACAGTGCATGAGCCAATGCCAAAAGTTGCAATCTCGGCAGATTCCCCTGTTCTCCACCATTTGGCCCAGCCACCCCTTGGCTGGACAGAAGGGTGGCCAGGTCAAATTTCAGTGGTGTTGTGACCAAGCTCTGGACTGCTCCAGCAGCAGCCATACTGATCAGTACAGGATCTCTGATGAAAAGTGATCACTGCCCTGCCAGTTCTGCAGCCTGTGGAACTGTGAGCAAGTGGAAGAACTTTGGGGCAGGGGGATGTTCCTCCCTTGTAATTGGCACTGCTGCTTAGGGGATAGGCATTTCCTTAACTTCCAGGAGCTTGATAAGAGAGGGGGCAGTTCTGTGGTGACATTTCACTATGCTTGGCTGTCCCTGATAAGTGTATTCTTATTGTGTTCTTAAGCACTGGGGTGATGGTGTTGAGTGGTATAAAGTTTCTTTTTAAACATGGATTAGAAATAAAGGATAAAATTTAAAAAAGGAGCTAGGTGACTAAGTCCCATTTTCAAAAGTGGCTTTGCACTAAAAGCCACTGGTTCTTGAAATCAATGGGAGTTAGGCATTTAGATGCTATTGAAAATCTCACTAGGCACTAATCTGCATCTTTAGGTGCCTAAATCCCTTTAAAATCTGGTCCTAGCGCCTAAATCATTTTTTAAAAATGGGACTTAGGCGCCTCAGTGATTTAAGTGCTTCTGAAAATTTTACATAAACTCTCTGACAGGCAAGTGACGTACAAGGGTGCATCTTACCAAATACTGTAGGTGGGATCTTCAAAAGCATTCAGCACGGGCCTAGATCTGCTCCCACTGAAGTTTATGGCAGTTTTACCACTGATTTTAGTGAGAGCAGAGTTAGGCCAATGTTGAGTGGTTTTGAAATCGTATTCTGTAGCCGAGAAGTGGGGCTAATAATTGCCATGGGATCTATACTTTGAAAAACAGGCATGCCTTGATCTCTGTTGGAAAGATGCATTGGGAGATTGTTAAAGATTGCCCTATGAATCTGATATTGTAAGGGTTCCATATATGCGTGGCTGCATGTGCTACAACCCTAAATGAGATGGTGTCGCTCATCCCAGGGCAGAGTGGGCGGCCTCAAAGATTTCTGACATTCCCGGGTTATGTTTTTCCCCTTAAGGTTCAAGTAAATATTTAAAATGGTGTGATGAAAACCTCCTCCCGGGAGCTCTGTCGACAGATGTATGATTTGTTTGTGTTACCATAGTGCCCACGAGCCCTGATTATGGTACCAGAACTCCATGGCGCTAAGTGCTGTACAAATCCAGAACAAAAAGACAATCCCTGCCAGGGGTTCAAGGAGATTGGATATTTCCAGAAGCCACTCAGTGGCACGCCATCCCAGCCACGCAGGTCACTCCATCTCTTATCCTTGATTTACAGTGTGTCCTGGCAGGCACAGAACAATGCTATTGAGTGTCTCTGTTGAATTTTTGTGACCTCTATTAGGGTGATGCAGGCCCATATGTCCCAGGCTTTCCTGCCCCAGCAGGCTGCTCTGTGTCACGGCCCACTGGGCTCCCTTACACCAGCTGGGATGGAGGCTCTGATGACAGCCCAAGCCGCATCGGCCAGCAGCCACTTGGCCCAAATGGAGACAGTCCTGAGGGAGAAAGAGAAGCTGCTGAGGGAGAGTGAGACGCTCCAGAGGGAAAACGAAAAGCTGCGGCGGGAGCTTGAGAGCTGCAGTAAAAAAGCGAGCCGGATTCAGAAGGTAAATGCACGGAGCCATCACACAACCAGTCTTTCCAACCAAAGCACTAGGGCCCAGCTCCTCAAAGGTATGCAGGCCGCTAACTCCCATTGGATACCTGTGAGTATCTGGGCCTTGGGGCAACATACAGCAGGCTCGAGACCCTGGCAGGGGGCAGGACTGCCAGGAGCAGTAAGTTTGCATGTCCAACATTTCATTTGAAATGAGACTTGGATGTTTCATTTCACTGGCTGTTTTTCATCTGCGATAACACAGCCTGGCAGGCAGTCTGTCCAGGACAGACTCGGTTTGTGTCCGGGAACTGTAGGATTGATGAACAAGGAGCTTTATCACAGTGTTAGCCCTGAAGTGACTCTGTCTGCTTCACTGTGGAGCTTCTCTCTAGAACCTCCACCAGCCCCCTCCTGCCTAGCTCTGTGTGCTGGGTTTAAAGAGACAGTGCACAAGTCATCCCGCTTTTGTCAGGATTGAGGTGCATTGGCAGAGTTCTGGAGAAGACCAGGAACTGGACAGCGAGGTAATTACACAGGTCAGGATAGAAGAGCCTGGAGAGGGCTCTAGAGGAAGCTTGCTCAGTGCCTGCCTGTCCTTCGCTTGCATTCGCACTACATCTCACTCATTGTCAGCCGAGCTCCTTGTGGTCCTGGCTTCATTCTCTGGATGGGGTTTTGTTTGGTTTCTTTCCTAGAGAAAGAGCAGACAGCTGCTCAGAAAATTCATCCCCTTTCATATGTTTAATCTCTTCTCCTGTCACAGCTTTCTCCTCCTGCCGTCCCTCTGAACAGCTGTGGCTCAGAAGCACACAGCACAACAGGTCCTCAGCCAAGGCAGTTGTTGGGTGGATAAAAAAGAGTCCATTCACCGTCTCTGTTAACAGTTGGGCCCTCTCTGGCCGTCCCTCCCCTTGGGGTCTATACTGGGCCGCCACAGAAAGCCCTTTGTGCGGAGGCATACAAGGGGAGGCCTGTTCCAGCCCAGCCACAGCCAAGGGGAAAGCCTCTCCCCTTAGAACAAACGGGCCATTGGGAGGGGCACGTGGCAGGCTTGCAGAGGTGGGGAGACAGAGGCATGTGCTGGAGCTGGGGAGGAGGCCAGGAACCCGGTAGGCAGGATGGAGCGGCAGTGAGAGGAAGAGTGGAGGCAGTGTGGAGAGAGATGATAGAACTTCTCCAGTATAGTTTGTTTCATAATCCAGTTAGATGTGTGCACAGCTTGTATCAGCCATCAGGTTCATCGCAGTAAGACAGACCCAGGAGGGTCTCTGATCCCTTAGTGTTACAGACATAAGGGCTTGACCTTTCCACATGGCCAAAGGGAAGGGCACTCTAAGAAGCCAGAGCCAGCCAGGAATAGGAGGGACTGTGTACCAGGAAGCTTTATCAGAGTGATTCAGGCCCCTATGGCACACCTTTCACTCTCCATGCACTTGCAGCAGCCATCCCACCACTGAAAATGGAAAGGTTGCTCCTGCAAGAGGAGCTGCTCCAAGAGGGCAACCTCAGGGGGTGGAGAGACAGCAGAGCTATCTCCTTACCTGGGAAGAGGTGGAACATCCAAGGGTCCCAGGAAGGAAAAGGCAAGTGCTTCTCTGTGGGAAGCTGGGGAAGGAGGAGAAGCTTGGGGAGTTTTATCTCTGGAGATGATTGCCTTTTAAAAAGAACTGACTTAAATTAAACCCAGGCCCAAAGTCTCCAAAGAGCATGGTGTCGTTGCAGTGGGCTTATAATAAATGGGCCTTTCGAGTGGCTGCTCAGGAGGCAGATGGGAAAGCAGCACTGCATGGTGGGTACAGTTATACAAATCATTGTGGAGTCTAATGGTGCCCTGCAAAGCCGTTTGTAGGTGATGCCTGCTGGCGTGGGGTGGTTTGCAGTTTGAGTGAGAAGGTGTATGTTGTTCTCCTATTGGTGTGTGTAATGCTCACGGACTTGCGTGGGGAAGGCAAGTGCAGGTGGGCAGTGAGCAAGCTTCTTCTTTGCACCTCAGTCCTGACCTGTAGGGCTCCTGTCATTCATTCCAGTTCTCAGACCTTGTCTGAGCAGGGCCCATGAGTCGTGCGTTGTGCACAAGTAAGGAGCAGGATGAGACCACCAGACTCATGTCACTAGTCTCCTAGTGTGGGACTTAAACCCAGCCCTTTACTGGTGACAGACACTGCAGCCATGTTGGCTTATGGTGTTGCTTTTGCAGTGCACCTCACATTGAAACATCTGCTGGTGCCATCCAGCCATCTTCTCCTCTGGTCTTTTCCCCATCCCAAGAATGTTTAACTTCAGCCTGTTGTTTCTTCCCCCCACAGCTGGAAACAGAGATTCAGCGAATCTCCGAGGACTACGAAAACCTGATGAAGGCATCTTCCAAGCGAGAGGCATTGGAGAAAACCATGAGGAACAAGAAGGATGGGGAGATGCGGCGGCTTCAGGATTTCAACCGGGATCTGAAAGGTAAGAAACTGGACAGCACTAGACAGGAGCTAGGGAGAGTGGAAAGGGCAATTCTTGGGTGCACTCCTTTTTGGGCTCATGCATCCTGAGAGAAGATCACTGTTGTTAGAAACATGCTGTGCCCCAGGCTAAGACTCCCCACATTGGTGCTCCCTCCATAAGCCACTTGAGCAGTGTAGGCCCTTGTTCAGTGCACACGCTTGGCCTAATGTTGTATAACCTAGTTCTCACATCCAGTACCAGTTTGTGACTTCCCCTTGTTGTTCCCAGTCTTGTGACCCTCATCTCTGGTGACAGATCCCCAGCAAACTGTCTTCTGACACATTTCCTGGTACATCAGGAGCATTTCGGGGAGGTTCAGTTTCAAGATGGGTGTCTAATACCACCTGTGCCATCCAAGAACCAGGCTGTTCCCAGTCAATTAAATTCTAAAAATTCTATCTCTGTATATTTAATCTGAAACAGAACGGTTGGAATCTGCAAACAAACAGCTGGCCAGCAAGCAGCAGGAGAACCCAGAAGGCAGCCAGGGGACTGTGGCAAAACTGCTTGCACAAAGTAAGTCCCGGGGGAATGCTAGGTCACAGAGGAGGTGCTGTGCAATTGTGCCTGCCTGGCTCGCTGCACGGCCAGCCCTGCTGCGCAGTGCCCTGTCACTCTGTGGCCTGGTGGATCAGGCATGTTGGCATGCTTTCGGGGTGGGTGTGTTGGGAGGGAGAGGAAGGAAGGGTAAGGTCCCTTTAAGATAGGAGAGGAGGTGGATCCTCTCTTGGAAGCTTTTGCCATTCCCCAGGGAGAGCTAAGCTGTTCTTGGCACTCAAAGCAGGGCCATTAATCACAGCAGCCATCAGTGTGACCTGGATTCTTTGCATTCCAGCGGCTGTTCTGGCTGTTCCAGCACACAGTCCACACTCCCGCCACTCCAAATCCCAGACCTAGGTTAGAGCCCTTTCTCTCTTGCATTGGAAATTTTTTTTTTTAAGGAGAAAACGTTTTTTGCCAGAGGCTGGGAATAGCCGTGACAGTCTCTTCCTGGCTTGATTCCACTTCCACGGCTGGCAGCAAAATGCCCACAAAAAGCCAAGGGAGGGGAAAGGGGGTACAGCCCCAGGCTGCCATCGTTCCCACCCGCCTTCCCTTCCCTGAAAGCTGCTGAGTCCCTTCAGCTTAGGCCTCATCCATCCAAGGAAGTTGTACTGGTGGAACGGAGCCAGTTCAGGAGGGAAGTTTGTGCAGCCCTGGGGGTGAACGCTTTTCCTGCGGGCGGGGACAGGGATTGATTCCTTTGATTGGGAAGGAATTGCTCACATTGCACTATCCTGGGTTTTAGGCCCGTTTTCTCATGCGGACATGACCTTTGTCAATGGTGGCATTAATGTGTCCTTAACCGCGGCTCTTTCCCTTGGCCTTCTGAGTGGTTGCCTCTTAATGCCCACAGAGAAGCCATCACTGGTGTGGCTCCTTTGGGAGATTATGGGCCAGTCCTCTGCTGGGGTGAATGGGTGAAAGTCCATTAAAGTCAGTGGAGTGGCACCCATTTGGATCAGGATTTGTCTGAGTTTGCCAGGGACGAGGCTGAAGGGAGGGTGGTGTGCAGCTTTGGAGCACCAGCCTGCAGGTTTTTAAACAAGGAAGCCTGTGCAAGGAGCCAGCTGCCTAGTGGGTGGCAGGTCACATGATGAATCTGCCATGCTTTTCAATATAGTTGGCGGACTAATTGGGGAGGAGAGACCTTGGGACTGGACTAGCGATGGTGTTACAAGGCAGGAGAGGACTGCCTTGTAGAACCATGTGGAATAGCTGTGGCGTTACGTTGGCAGAGCTGTATGGCGCCTAGGACTGCAATAGCAGGAGTGGTAGAGTAGGACTAAGAAGCATTGTGAAAACTGAGCCTTTAAGGAATTTTCTTCTTTCTTGCTCTTTACCATGGCAGCTGATTCCCTGGCAGTGGCCCAGCGTGGCCCCACATATATCATGTGGTACTAATGGTACTGCCCTTCCCTTCCCACCCCCAGTGGACAGACACTGGCAGCACAGACCTCTCAGTGGGAGAGAGACTGGGAGCCCGTTTGCATCAGCGGGATGGAACAAGCGACTTCTCCCTGGGCAGATATTTTCAGAGCAGACATTTAGATTTTCTCATGACAATTGTCCATCAACCTAATGCGATAGCTCTGAGCCGGAGTCCCTCCGATATGCACTAGAATGAAATGACTGCAGCTGGGAACGTCCTGAGCGGATGGAGCAGCTACAACCGTCAACTAACGTACTTGCTCCTTGTGCCTTTTCCAGGCTATGAGCACCAGCAGGAGAAAGAGAAGCTGGAACGGGAGATTTCACGACTGCGCAGTGCCAACGAGGACCAGCGCCGGCGGGCGGAGCTGCTGGAGCAGGCACTAAGCAACGCCCAGACACGGGCAGCTAAGACCGAGGACGAGCTGAGGAGGAAGCGGGCGTACGTGGAGAAGGTGGAGAGGCTGCAGCAGGCCCTGGGCCAGCTCCAGGCTGCCTGCGAAAAGCGTGAGCAGCTGGAACTGCGTCTCCGCACCCGCCTGGAGCAGGAGCTGAAGATGCTGCGGGCCCAGCAGGTGAGGAGGAGTTCATGGAACCAGGGGCGAGGCCAGCAGCAAAGCAGGGCCAGTGAGACGGTTGCTCAGAACACTGGTGGCACCAGCCCCCTTGCGGCACGAGCCCTGCCAGCTGTGGCGCTGCAATGGGGGCAGGTTGCACGGAAGGGCTCGGGCAGGCAAGGCCCAGATGTGCCTGAGGATGGGGCACAGAGTAATGGTTGGAGAGCAGCCCAATCCAAGTATCCCCAGGATTTGGAGAAACCTGGTTCTGGGTCCACACTGTGCAGGTTGGGCCCATCTCTGATCATTGTACTCAAGGGACCTTTCTCTTCGTCATTCAGTCTCATGCTGTGTGTCATTTTTCCTGTGCTAATGCAGAGACAGGTGGGAGCCCCGACTGGAGGATCCCCAGAGCTGAGTGCCCACATGCTGGCCGAACAGTTGAGAGAGAAGGAAGAAAAGATCCTAGCCCTGGAGGCAGACATGACCAAGTGGGAGCAGAAGTATCTGGAGGAATGCACCATGAGGCAGTTTGCCATGGATGCAGCTGCCACCGCTGCTGCACAGCGGGACACGACTATCATCAACCACTCCCCGCGTCACTCCCCCAATAACAGCTTTGACGAGGATCTCCTCTTGGCCAATCACAAGCACCAGGAGATGGAAAACAGGTAGGTCCTCCATGTGGCTTCACAGGGCATGTTTTTTGTTGGCCTTCCATTATCATCAGTCCTGGGGTTTTTATGTCGCTCCTGTCATTGAGCATTTGGAAACTGGCCATCTGGGAAGCCAATCAGCAGCCATGGGAAATAAGTGTCCTTGCCATGTGCATTGACGGAGCGAAGTTTCCGTGGCCGTGATGCTAAGGGAACACCACACGATGAAGGATTTGCTGAAGCATGTCACACCCTCTGGAATAAAATCGCCATCATCTCTCTCACTTTGTGCCTTGCTCTTGCGTTCCCCAGGTTAAAAGCACTTCATGCCCAAATATTGGAGAAGGATGCAGTCATCAAAATTCTGCAGCAGCGCTCGCGGAAGGATCCCAGCAAGACTCTGCAGGGCTCCCTTCGGCCAGCCAAATCTGTGCCATCCGTCTTTGCTGCCTCGGGGGCCCAGAATTGGCCGGGGGCCACCCACAGTGAACGGTTGGTCGAGGGCCCTTCCAGAGGGAGTCCAGGTAAGAGGAGTCTCACCTGTGGGGAGGGAGTCACAGGGTACTTGCCCCTTCAGTTAGCATTAAAGCCCCACTTGAAAACTCCCTTTGCTGTGTTTCCTCCAGCTGAATGCCAAAGGATAGAAGCGTTGCACTGAGCTGGGGTGTTTTCTGGTGGGAGAGCCTTGGAACATAGCATAGAAATGGAGCTCGCTGGCTGGCTGGCTGGCTGCCAGTCAGGTCAGGCCTGGCTCACTAAAGCCAGTAAGAGCCCAGAGCCAATCAAGTTTGCCTCAGTATTTAAAATCTAAAGGTGGCTGCTCCTCTCTCTTCAGCAGGCAAAGTCCTGGTGGAGGAGACGCCCAGCCCATCTCCTTGCAGCCCTCTCCCCTTCCACTCCAAACGTGGCAGCAAAGATGGGAGCACCCAGACGGATGGCGTGCCTGAGAGCAGCCTTGGCAGTCCGGGCGAGGGGCCTGGTGCCCAGCTTGACAGCAGCCCAGCGCACTCCATGGGTAAGTCCTGCCTGCCCCGCTGCCCTGGCAAATATGTGCTTGCAGAATCCCTGCAATGCTGTGCCCAGGGTGAACCCAGAGACCTCCCTTCCCTCTGCTAGGGGTGCCGTATGAGCCCTGCATAGCTGAGGGGTGAGCAAGGAGCTGGTTACTCCACCCTGGCTGCCAGGACTCAGCCTCCTGCCAGAGTGACTAATCCTGAGTGCGAGATACACAGTGGGGATGAAACGCTGTAGGGCTAGGTGGGGCGTGGACTAGGGAAGAGTGTGGGAAAGACCAGAGGAAAGAGACTGTCTCAAAGGTTTTCTCTCTTACTGATTCCTTTGGGCTTTGATCTGGGCCTGCAGATCTGAACTAAAGCCCAGCTTATCAGCACGCCACAGGCTAGCACACCCACCCTGCCCTTCAGTGGGAGAATCCGGTTTTTCTGCTAATGGTTTTAGAGTCAGGAGGGAGGAATCGGAGAGGCTCCCTCCCACCCCACCCCACCCCCAGCTAATTGTGCAGCGTTCTTCCTGGGCTTTACCATCTGTAGAGAAAACCACAAACATGAGAAGAATCCCCATGCTCCTCTCTCCGCCCCCTGCCCCAGGCCCTGCAGCCAGTGGAAAGCCAGGAGCCAAGCACTCTCCCTTTGACAGTGTAAGGGGGCGGGGTTTGAGTGAGCGCAGGGAGCTGGGTTGGCTCTGACATGCCATTTGGTTTGCATTAACCGCTGGTGATGGTTGTGTGCATGGGCCACAGCAGAGAGGCTGAGGGGAGAGGGCTAGGGTTATACAAGTGACTAGTGATTTGGGGGGGCCTGGCTGAAGACCCCTTAAAAGGGTCTGATCCTCAGAGGGTGGGTGCTCAGTGCTGTCTGAAACAAGGTGGGCCCCCAAAATCACTTGTCATGCTTTAGGGGTTGGGCCCAAGCTGTCTTATTTATTCATTATGGATTCAAGTAAATCTAATGGCCCTGTTGTAAATGTTTGCATTTCCATGGGGCACATCGGGGCTCCATTGTGCTAGGTGCTGCACAGACATAAAAGCAGGAGCCAGTCCCAGCTAGAGAGAGCTCACAATCTAAAGGTGGTTTGTTTCCTTGCAGAGACCATGTCTGCTGCCAGGACCATCAGCCTGTCAGACATGGTGGAAATTCTAATCTGAGGAAGGGCAGGTGCCCACCATCTTCTCTGTCCCTGCACGCTGGCCTGGTCAGAGGAGAGATCTGCTGGGGAAAGTGCCGATTCAGGAGCCATTCGGTTACTGGGATCCTGGCTGGGCTTGTGGTGTGGAGAGTTCCTGGACAAAAGGAGTTTGGGGGAGGACTGCAGGAGAGCATGCAGCATAGCCACAGAGCGAGGGCTGGGAGGGAAGCTGCCACTGTGGTTTGCATCCATCAGCTGCCATTTATCTCGCCCACTTTCCATCACAGCAGAGCTCATTTGCTACTTGTTCCATCTACCCTGTTGGGCCAGCCCATGTGCAGTGCACCTGTACTTGGGAAGGACTGTCCCAAGTTCCCTTTGTGACATACCAGCGACAGGAAAGAAGGAAGGAGGGTCTGAAAGTGAAGAGGCACAGAGCCCTCCCCTGCTCCCCATCTGTGACCTGGAGGAGGGCAGCATGCTGAGCATTGCTAGAAACTGATCCTGGAAGGACGGGCGTGCCTGTTTCGTTGGACACCCCGTTGGTACCCGCTCTCCAAGGTCAAGCTGCCGGGAGTAGCTCTTGTATTATGCTGGCGAGGCCAGAATTCCTGCCCCTCCCCATGCCTCCCAACCCACCTTTCCCCTCCTGTTGAGAGGACTGGAAATGCTTTGGGTGAAGGTGTTTTTGCGTAGCCAGCTGGTGCCCAGTGGCTGGTCCCCAGAGGCACTTCTCCTGGGGAGGCTGCAGTGCTGGCAGCTTGCAGCCCATTAGGGTGTGTGAGGAGGTGAGGGAGGGGGCAGGACAGGCTCTGTAAATAACTCCCTGTTTTGTAAACAAAAGCAAACCCTGTATTTATCATTTCAATTTCCTCCCTGCCATGGCCTTTGTCCCTCCTGCCCCCTTTCCTGCTCTCTGTGGAACCTTTCTCGCCCCTTAGCCGTTCACCCTCCCTCGCTTGTCTCTCCTTTGGCTCTCTAGGCCTGTGCTTGTTCTCTTCCTCCATTTCATATCCTGTTTGTCACCAGAGTTAAATATCCCTCATTGGCATCCATCAGATTCCATTTCCTTTGGGGCACTTTCCCATGATTCCTCCAACTGGAATTTCCCTTCTGTTTGTTTCAATACCCGCTGAGTATGTGTTTGAGCTCCTGAGCTGCTCTCATTTGGGGAAGGAGCAGATCCTCAGCTGATGTAAATCAGAACAGCTCCATCAAATCAGAAGAGCTAAATGAGGCTGCCCGAGCACCAGACTCAGACTCTCATGACGTATGTGCATCAGTAGCACCATTCACGGCCATGTGCAAACACAGTGCTCAAGAGGGTAAAGGATTGCAGGATGGAAGCCTTTATAAATACCAGAAGCTCTGTGTATGTTTCAGCTGAAGGGAGCTTGTGTTTATGCAAAAAAATAAACAAGGGGGTTAAGGGTGGATGGGGGGAGGGAGGGAATGAAACTGGAGATGAAAAAACACACTCCCAATGTGAAACAAACATGTCTGATTTTCTTGTGGAGGAGTTGATTTCCCCCCCTTCCTGGAACTGCACCGAGATATACTCACTCACTTATTCACAGTTCTCATACACCCCCTTGTCTACTGACAGCTGGCTTTTGACAGTAGCCAATTCTGATTTTAATTGAGAGTTTCTCAATCCACTGAACTCCAACGCTTTCTTCCCTTGGCCTTCATATATAAATATATACTTCCTTTAAACATCTGTGCATTTGCTGGACAACTGCATTTTTTTATTTTCTCCCCCAGACATGTAAAAAATGTGTTTGGATCTGGTGCATTGTTTACAATTGCAAAACAAAAACTATGAAAGAGAAAAAAACAACTTAATATATTTTATATTAATATTGGTATTTCTTTAAGTATTTTTTTTTGTGCTGTGAACTTTTTTCTGCCAAAGACAATGAGGTTTTTTTCGTTTGTGCGTTTTTAAGTTATCTTAAGTATTTAAATGTAAACCTGGCTGTTTTGTTATGCTGTCCTATACCGAGATTGCTGTAGCATTCCACTTGGTATAACAATATTTTAATAAAAAAATAAATATTGACAAAGGGGTGCTGCCTTCTCACTCTACAGTGTGGGTCTCTAAGATAGCAGGGAACAGATGTTGAGAGATCTGAATCCCTATGCACTCATTAACAAAGGATATATTTTTCCCCAACAATTTTTCCCAATTATCACAATCTTATGTATTGTTTTGGAAGTGTAATAGGTACAGCCCTTTTAGACAGAAAGGTGGCGCTGTCAGTTTCAAGTAATGAAGCCGACACTCATGAAAATGTCCCTTTGAGACAACTGAGGTGTGTTCAAGCAACTGAAGAATAACCTCCACGGGGTACCCATAGCAGTGCTGCTGATTTGAAGGTATACATTGTCCCCAAATGTGAAATAGTTATGGGTGAGGACAAAGTCACAAAGTTGAGCCAGCAGGTTTGCCGTGACATTATCGGGGATATTGTTCCTGACGGCTTGTAGTCCATCTTTGTGTGGAATGTTGGTGTAGAGGGCTTCTACATCCATAGTGGCCAGGATTCTCCATACTGTGACAAAGGTCCTCCTCTCCCTTGGTGGGTCTTGCACTTATTGGCGGATTTGCTCGCCTTGGAGCTTCACGGCAGCCCTCAGCTGGGCCGTTTTCATGAACCCACAGTCCAGGTCGACGACTCCTCTGTCTGACCAGGAGTTGGGAGGATCTGGGGGGAAGCCAGGCCCGCCCTCTACTCCAGGTTCTAGCCCAGGGCCCCGTGGAATGCAGCTGTCTAGAGTGCCTCCTGGAACAGCTGTGTGACAGCTACAACTCCCTGGGGAATGAAAGTGAGCTGACGTGAGCTGTTACTCACAAAAGCTTATGCTCAAATAAATTGGTTAGTCTCTAAGGTGCCACAAGTACTCCTCTTCTTTCTTCTGTAACATGCTGCATCAATTCTGCCCCACTAAGCAGCAGCTGCCCCCACAAGCACGTAGCCATGTTGGAATTTTAAAGGTATGGGCTAGGGAAAACGTACATATGCCGCAGCTAGAAGACCCAACATGAACCTCTTTCCCACCCACCCACCCCACATCTTCGTTTTGGGTTACAAGCCTCTCTACCTCTTGTTCTGTCTGAAGTCCATTGAGTGTTTTTGGGAGCTGGCCCATGAGAGTACAGGCCTTGCTCTCTACCTCCTAGTTTCATTTGTGTGAGCAGGCAAGGAACTAAAAGAGACTTGTAACTAAGACACAAACCCCTGCTGTCCAAGGCCCCCATTCAGGACAGCATTTAAACATGAGTAATCCCACTGAAGTCAATAAGACTACTTTCATGTTTACAGTTATGCGCCTGTTTAATCATCTTCATGAATTTGGGCCTGATTGCTTCAACACATAGGATTCTTCTAAAGTGTATCTAAATGGCCTGCCTCGCAGGTATGGAGTGCATGCCCAGAGGTCTGATTGCAAAGATACCCAGGGCTCTGCATTGGCTGTTGGAGGTTCTCCCACCAAACTAGTTGGATGATATCCTTGTTGCAGCTCATATTTGCGGGCAAGGCAGGGACTGGCTGGTTTTCATTCTCAGCTTTGTGGGAGGGAAGGGAAAATCTTTTAAAATACCATTTTTTTCAGGGATTATAAATAACAAAACCGTGGAGCCTGTCCATAAGAGAGGGATGGTGACAAAACCTGGGAGGAGAAAGATCTTGTAACTGACAAGCTGCCCATTAAATCCCTGGTTTGGCGAGAGAGCCTGTTTTGCAATAATTGTCCATTTCATTTCACAGCATGCGCTGGTGGCCCTGGAGCACTGGCCCCCTTTACCTGTGGCCAGCCCCCCTGTAAGCAATGAACTTCCCAGGCGGCTGGTTGGCAGTTCCCTGAATCTTGAGCACCTGGGCTGGGATGAAAGGGAAGCTGCTCCTAACAAGAGGAGTCTCTTAGAGAGACGCTCCAGGGAACAGAGCAGGGGAACTCCCAGGTGGAAAAGAGAGACTCTGGGAGGGAAATCCCAGCTAGCTGCAGGAGGTGCAGCCTGCAAGGTGCTGTGTGCAGCCAGGAAAAGAGCTGCAGTCAGCAGGAAGGGCATTGCTCTGGCAAAGGACCCAAAGTTGGGAGTGCATTGCAGCTAAAGGGCTGGGGTGTGGGACAGATGTACTCAGATAGATGGAGCTTGCCCCCCATTAAGCAGCCTTGATGAAGGACTTCCTTATGTTTCTGTGAACTTCCTGTTACTAAATTAGCCCCTCAGAGCAGGGGGGTGGTGAGGATGCTGTTTGATACATAAAAGTCTTGGGGAACTTATTCACCTCCCCATTGGAGAAATCAAGGCAGAGTGAACCTGTCGTGCTGCACCTGGCCCAAGGGGGTGCATGGGGATGGTACATGCCTTTCACAGTGGTGTTAGAAGCACAAGCTCCTTATGCATCAAGCTGGGAATATAAAGTAGGAAAACTCCTTTCAGTAGGGGAATTATAGCTGAAATATCCCCTCCACCCCCACTGCAAGCCTCACACCTACGCTGAGAATATTTCCAACTGATTGTGTGTGTGTTGCACTGGGATTTGCAGCGGGATTTAAGGGAGTGAGGTGTCCAACTGCCCCAGGATTTGAAACCAGTTTGGGCACCTAACTCCTTTGAAAACATCACCTGCGATGCCCTGATAAGACACCTGGGCTATAACTGTCCAAACCACCTGAAAGGTATATCTGGACTGGGATTAAAACCCCACAGCACAGAGCCTCAGAGCCCGGGGCGGCTGGCATGAGCTCATGAGGCTTGGGCTGCAGTTCTAAAAACTGTGGTGTAGATGTTGTGGGTCAAACTGGCGCTCTGGCTCTGAAGCCCTCCCCCCACGCAGGGTCTCAGAGCCCATCCTCCAGCCCAAGCCTGACCATCTATGCTGCAATGGTGCAGCACCACAGCCCAAGCCCTGGGAACCCAAGTCAGGGTTTGAGACTCTGTGCCGTAGGTTTTTTATTGCAGTGGAGACATACCCTTAAAGACTTAGGAGCACAACTCTCATTGAGAGTCAGTGGAGCCTGTTCTCCTAAGTCACTCATGAAAACCTCACCCAAGGTGCCTTCAAATATGTGACCCAAAACCAAAGGCAGCCAGAACTAGTGGAGACTCCTAAAACTTTCAGCAAAAACAACGAGGAGTCCTTGTGGCACCTTAGAGACTAACAAAGGAAATTTTTGATAGTAAATGTTTGCTATTATTTATATGACAGCAGTACCTAGAGGTTCCTTCTGAGACCACACCCCCTTTGTGCTAAACCCCATAGGTATGCAGTGGAAGACAGTCCGCTCCAAACAGCTGATAGCCTAAGTAAACAAGACCACCAAAGGGTGGGAGGGGAATCTGAGGCATGTGCCTTGCCCCATGTCACCTGCAGGTCTGTGGCAGAGCCAGGAATGGGGACCTCCAGACTCCCAAACCGGTGTCTGCTTACTGCACTACTCTGCCTCCATTGTCTAGGTGTTTCAGGTATTTGAACCACTCATTGTAGTTTTTCTTTAACCAGGGCAAGTCATGAAAGTAAATAAATAAATTCCGCAATGTCACAGTGGGGCGTGTGCCTGCATGTGGAAGAAGGCAGCAAGTGCGCTTTGTTTCAACATCCGTCTTCTCCACCCCTGCCATCGCCCGGCTCACTGGGTACATAGTTTGCATGCTTGCTGGGCTCAAGCGCGCTTCCGCACTGGCTCCGGAGATGGGAGGCAGGGTGGGTGTCACCCACAAAAAGCTGCTAGCAATGCCCAGCCACTCAGCTTGTGCCACTGACTGAACATTCAGCCACCTTCTTCCACCCTCCAGCCCTACTATGGATTTTGTGTCCTCAGCAGCTCGTGCCACCGGACTCCACAACCGGCACCTGCGCTGCCAGCAGGGTCACCATGCTCCAAGCAAGGACATGGCATGTGGGCTTCTGTTCTGGGCAATCTGGAGCCTTCCCTTGGCATGGCCAGGCAGGCTCCGCCCATGGGGCTGCTTGCACTCACCACTTCACCACCCAGCATGTGGGAGCGGGAAGCGCCTGGTGATACTTTACGGTAGGCTTGTACAGCCTCCCCGCAACCTGTGTTTTGGCAGCGTTCCAGAACGTGTCTGCTCACTGTGTGAGTAATTCCAAAAGCTGCTCCACTGCATGCACCCGATGAAGTGAGCTGTAGCTCACCAAAGCTTATGCTCAAATAAATGGGTTAGTCTCTAAGGTGCCACAAGTCCTCCTGTTCTTTTTGCGGATACAGACTAACACGGCCGCTACTCTGACACCAGACAATATGTAGTGTATAAAATCAGCCCACTGCATTTTATAAGTAAAGGGAAGCCCATTCTTAGACATAGGAATTCCTACTATACCCTCGTCTTTCAAACCTGGGTCAGGAGTTCTCCACAGGTGAGACATCTGTGCTAGCATTGCCTCCCACCAGGATCCAGCCCCGGGTGTGGGGAAGCAAGTGCCATTGAAACCAAAAGGACTTAAGCATGTTCTGAACATCAAGCCAAGATAGGGTGACCAGGTGTCCGGTTTTTGAAGAGACCACCCAGTCAAAAAGGGATCCTGGTGGGTCTGGTCAGCACTGCTGACCAGGCCATTGACTGTCCGGTTGGTGGAACCATACAGCGGGGCTGGCATGCTCCCTACTAGCCTCCATGCTGCATGGTTCCTGGGAAGCAGCCAGCATGTCCCCTCTCCGGCGCCTACACATAGGGGCAGCCAGGGGGCTCCGCACACTGGCCCCACCCCAAACACTGCCTCCACAGCTCCCATTGGCCGGGAATCGCGGCCAATGGAAGCTGCAGGGGTGGCACCTGCAGACAGGGCAGCGCGCAGAGCCGCCTGACCATACCTCCACATGGAAGCCAGAGTGGGGACATGCCAGCTACTTCCAGGAGCTGCTTAAGGTAAGCGCCACCCGGAGCCTGCACCCCTGACTCTCTGCCAGGCCCCAACCCCCTGCCCCAGCCCTGATCCCCTTCCCGCCCTCCAAACCCCTTGGTCCCAGCCCAGAGCACATTCCTACACCCCAAATCCCCTCAGCCCCAGCCTA